GAGGTCTTGTTTCCCAGAGCACAGGTTGGAATGACTTGAGTAAACTTCAATGATCTTAAACACGTTGTGGTCATTGTGAGTCTCACAGGAGAGGATTTGGAGAGGGACACACATTCCCGTCAATGAGCCACACTTTTCTTTGTCTCCTTTAAGACCTCAATAGGCAGCAGGGGGTATTCACAATAAAGTCAACATCGTCTATTTGATTGGGACACTATACTATCATAGTGTTTCAGCCACTTTTTCGAGCAAGAATGCAAAACATCCAGTAGTTAAAGCTTCTTAAATGGGATCAAATGTTCTTGATTTATATATGCTATGAGTCAACATTTTCGCTAAATAGTTTAGTCCATAAAATGTCAGAAAATGTCTATCTTTGTCAAGCCCCAAATATAGTCAGTTTAATGTTAAAAGGCATGAAATATATGCAAATCAAAAAAAAAACTGAACCTTTTATTTACACATGACGTGGAAGACTTGACTTAAACCCTGCATGTTTACAATATCCCTGTAGACATGCTGTGGAAACCCTGTAAGCGAAAAACAATTGAAAGCCCATACTGACCCCCAAGAGATCCCTGCAGGAGACATTTGAACTGAGCCATATTCTCTCCAGGTTTGTGCTGTCGGGGAACCTGCATGGCGGCACCGTGGTGGCCAGTTACCCTTTTGATGACTCGGCCACGCACCAGCGGCAGGGCCAATACAGCTCGGCCGAGGACGACGTCCTGTTTCGATACTTGGCCCTGGTGTATTCCAAGAACCACAATGTGATGAAGACCGGTGAGCCCAACTGTCCCGATTCCCTCACTGAAAAGTTCAAAGACGGCATCACCAATGGGGCGCAGTGGTACGACGTGCCTGGTAAGATGATCAATTATATATGGTTTTAAATGCCTGGTTTAGTGATTGCATTTTTTATTTATTGTTGTTGAATCTTGGTAGGGGAACACAAGCTGTGGCGACTTTCTTTTGGGTTGACCATACCGGACATTGATATTCTGTTTTGGATGTGATGATATCCAACCAGAACCATTGTTTGAACTGTGTTGTTTGCACCCTCTAAGCAAGGGTTTTATATGCCTTCCGACCTTTTATTTTAAAGCTATGAGTTATAACGACCAAGTGGGATTGTTGTGTTGTTTCTTTGAGCTATTAGCTAAGTGGATATTTTGTTTCCCGTTATTGTTCTCTCAATTGCTTCAAGTTGTAGACAGCAGACAAGAACATATGAAAGAGAACATATGTGTTATGTCCTAACCTGTGTTGCTGCTTTTGATCTTGTTATCTGAAAGCCGAGATTATAACTTACACCGTAACGTTTTGTGGTTGGTATTCACAAGCAAATCATTTTTAGGAGACTCAGGAACAAATTATTATCATTTCCTTACACAGCTTAAAGTCATTCTCATGATAAGGGTTTTTCTCAGATCCCAAGTAAAAATGTAATGTTTTCTGAGTTGAGTAGCTCAAGTTACATTCCAGAAAGCAACTTGAAAAACTTGCTTTTCAAATCTGTTTATAGGCAGTATAGCTTTATCCCCTCCTCGAAAAGCTGATTAAACATAAAGCAAAGTTCATAGTTAGCACGGGTACGTTTAGCACATTATAGCTGCGTTGTGTAACTTGTTATTGAAAGTCTTTTTCAAAGAGCTGCAAAGAATAGAATTGTATGATTCTTCATAAACAACACTTGTACGTCGGCTCTAAAATGCAGTCATTGATGCACTGATATAATATTTATAATATGTAATGTATCCCTGTTCTCCTTTTAAGTTTATTTTGTTTAGCTTATGCAGATTGTGTTGCGCCTTACCTTGTTCTGTGTTCAGGGTCAAGAAAAATACCCTTCATAACTTGGCAGAAACTTGATCATTGACTCTCTACTTTGTTCTTTTTGAAGGGGGGGGGGGGGGGGTTTCCGCACGGCTACTCCTGATAAGATGTGCCTCCTTCATTGTTGTACTTTGTTTTAGGTGGAAAGTGTGTCTATCAACTGGTGTTTTCCCAGGGATGATCATGCATTTGCTTTGGTCAAATACATAGTTGTGGCTCTCCAGAAGTAGAGTAAATATATTTTGAAATGTGTTACACGTTTTGTGTGTTATTTTTCTGGATTTCTTTGAATGGAGCCAGCTGTTAAACCGGTGCAG